AGAAAGAAAGAAAGAAAGAAAGAAAGAAAGAAAGAAAGAAAGAAAAGGAACAGAGAGAAGTGAAGGAAGGAAAGAAAGGAAGGAGGAAACAAAGGAAGAGAAGAAGGAAGAGGAAATAAAAGATAAGGAACAAGAAGAAGAAAAAAATAGATTTTTTGGTAGATGAACAGAACACTTGCTAGAGTTCCTTAGAGGGGAACCGCAGTGCTGAGCCGTTGGCTCCCTGGAGACAGAATTCTTTCTTTCCCATTTGGCTCTCTCCTTTCCACAGAGGGTAAACTCTGGACCCCGTCCCCCTGCTGGGAGTGACTTCTCCCACCAGCCCCCAGGCTCTGTGCTCCACTTGTCTGTCCTGCCAGTCTGTACCTGTTCTTCCTCTCTCACTCCCCTTTGGAATCATCTGTCCAAGTTCCTTCAGGGATCCAGCCCACCTGACAGGAGAGAACGCTTGTTCTCTGCCACGAGCGACCCAGGTATTCAACTCAAAGCTGGGAGATGCACAGAGCAACAGAACAGAGCTGCATCTGGAAAAGAAGTGCACTGTCAAAAGGCAGAGCACAGCCCATGTTTCTCAGAAGCGGTAGCAGGAGTGCCAGCCTGAAGGGACAAGGGTCCAAGAGGATGGGCTGCCAGGAGGATGCCGTGCTGTACCTCAGGAAGATGCAAGGTGGAAGACGCGGGCAAAGAAGCACTGCCTAAGGCCCAGAGCAGCAGTCAGAGGCGTCTTTCAGAAATGCACATGGGAAAGTGTTTGCTTTAAACACCCACTGAGGCCAGCGAGCAGAGCCATCTGCGACAGCAGCTGCCAAGTAGGGACACATTTTGTTCCTCTTTGTTCCTCCTGTCTCCCTGCTCTCACTCCAATCCCCAAGAGAAGAGCAGTGGGGAAAACAGAAAAAGACACTTGCTGGAAGCCTGCAGTGGCCCTAGCCCAAGGACAGAGGAAAATATATCTTTACGATGAGCATGGAAATGTTGGTTCTTGTATGTGGTGGGCAGTCTCATTTCAGGATCAAGCGTATGCGTGTGACTTAAAGTCACTCTGGTGTATAAAGATGTCTTTATTAAACTCTCTGTTATTAATGAGGGCATCGTGGACAGAAAAAGAAGGGGAGAGAGTTATTTCTCCTCTCCCCCTTGCTTGTTGTTTTGATCTTATCCTCCTTGGCCTGCAGCCACCTGTCTCGGACGCACTTTTGAAGTTCTGGACAATTGGGCTCAGCGTGATCAGCCAGGTGCATCCCACAAGCCTCGTCTGTCTCCAGCCTGGGCGACGTCCCATGAGGATTCACTTTATGTGGGGGAATAGGTGCTGTAAGTGGAAAACATGCACTTTTAACCATTTGTGCCTCCTTCACACAAGGCCATCTTAAAAACCTCAGTGTATTGATTGGTCCAGATGTTGCCTGTATAGTTAAAAAGGTATATGATTTAGCTTCTCACAATCATTTTGCATACCATGAGTGCTGTTAAGTGTAAATGCCAAGTATAAGTGCTAAGTTTTGAATCAAATATTTGAAAATAACAAGTTTTCAGTATGGACTTTTACCTTATGTACTATGTACTTTACATAGCAAAGACTTGTTGCCAAAAAAAAGGAAGGTATTAAAGAGAATTCTTTAAACTTTGCAGAGGCTGACTTTTGTCCTTCTTTATTCTCTTTTCCCCGCCACAGATATCCAGGGGTCTGGTGAGCCCTCCACACTTGGAAACTCCCCCAAAACTGTGAGTTGTGTTAGAAGTGAAGGTAGTCAGCCTGTGAACTCTCTCCCCAATATTTGGGCCACTTCTCAAAATAGGTTTCTTCATGAGTATTCAGATGAATACCTAGATTTAAGTGACATAAAAATGAGTTGAGCTCTGGTCATATGAGTAGTCCTCACATAAAAAGACCACTTTCCCACAGTCTCTGGTACTCTACCTTCCTTATCACTGTATTCTTGGACACGAAACCTCAGTTTACGTGGCTAAAATCCAGAGGTCTGTATGATTTCAGCAGCTGTTTCATGTGGTTCTGACACTAACGCCTTCATGTACAAAGAGATATATTTCCTTTCTGATGTCCTGGCTTTGACTGCGTGTGGAACCAAATTTTATATAACACGTAGAACAGAGTATCCCTTCTCTGATTATGTTATTTCTGATCCAAAGGAGGACAGTGACTACAGACTTGATTTGAAGCCACCCTGCCACCCCTGGAGATACCAAGAAAGGATTTTTCTCTATCTCTTTTTGAAAGTCTGGCTCAGGGACAGTTATGTCCCCATTACCTGAGGAATAACTATGAAGCAGTTGCCATAGGGTCATTAACCGAGAACAGAGTGTGAGCACCTCAATGAGGCCCAGATGCCCAGGAAAGAACTTCATATCCACGATAGGTTTCATCTTCTTGATGAGCCAGAACTGAGTTTTCTCCCATGATGCAGTTCTGACCTCAGGAATCTCCAGAGGTGACGGGCTGCACTATCCAGGCCTGGGATCACTGCCCTTTCAACTTTTCAGTCCTCTACACAGTGATAGTTTTGATCAGATGTACTTGAGTGATACAGAATTTGCCATGGATATTTATGTTCTCTTTCCAATATCAGGAATTTAAACATCAACTTTCATTTTCAGATTCCCATGATGGGTGAATTCTGTGTTGACATAATCCAGTTATTAAGTGAGGTCTCTCAGTCCAAACCTTATTGTTTTAGAGAACAATGATTTAAATTTTACTAACTATGGACATATGAACATTTCTCAATATTTCTTAGTGTCACAGGAAAAATCCAGGACTGAAAAGAAAATGCTCTCCACTGAGGAGTTTGGAAGGCCAATTTATTTTAATGCTAGTGGGCTGCTGGAAACCAGTTCCAAATTATCAGCTCACAGTCAGGTTTGAATTTAATTTAAATAGAGTTTGCAAGCAGGAAGTACACAAAACTGATAACTGGTTATTACATGACTGGTTAGATGGATTACAAGAACCAAGTCCTATGCTGTCAGGCAGATTTGTTTTAAGCAGGTTTACATAAAAGGAATTGTTTATCATTAGACAGGAACATTTCAGGATGTAGAGGGTTTGAGCACAGCAGATAGAGCTGAATGTGTCCTTGACTGGGGCCAGTTTGTTCTGGACATAAAGTCCTTGAAGTAAGCAATATATATATATATATATATATATATATATATATATATATATCAGAACCACAGTCCAGTGGGATGGTGGATTTTCAGGAAGCGGGAAGGAAATCTTTCTTGGATTGCTATGTATCAGCATGCAAGGGGTGATCAGAATATACAGTGAATCTTTCTATTTAAAACAAACTATGGTAAGTAATTAGAAAAACACATATAGTACAGCTGGATGTGGTCAGGTTGACCTAGTCAGTTATTTGGAAGATGCAGCTGGACATAGACAGTCAAGGCTAACTGAACTTGGCAGTCTATGTGGCAAGCATCATGAGCATAGTTACAGCTATTGACTGATTTTTAATTTATACTGTAAGATTTTTATAAATTTGCCATTACACTAGAACTTCCCCAGGAGAATGTTCTCATCGTTGCTCAGCTCCCATGTTCCAGCCTCTTTATGAGCTGCGTTCAGCTTCTTCCTAAAATTTCCAGAAAATCTCACTGATACACACCCACTAAGGGCTTGCATTTCCTCAAAAATGTGGAGTGAGGGACTTCTGGGAAGACAGAAGAGTGGTGAGCAGCAGAGAAAGAGCCTCCAAGACTTGGTGAAGTCAATTCTCAGAACCCAGAAAGGATCTGAAATGAGAACTGAAGCCCCCAGAGAGAGGGAAGAGAGAGATTTCAATGAAGAAGGAAATGGTCATCAGTGCTTTCTCTTAGAGCTTCGACACATCATGTGGGAGAAGCAGCTCAAACCTTCAGAGGCATGGTGACTACTGGCAACCCCAGAGGCCTAAACAGAGAAACACATCAATGGAACAGAGCAAGGGACTTCAGTGGCTGGTAAGTTACTCAAGTTCAGATGTCTTCCAAGAATGAAACTTTAAAAAAAGAAAGAAAATGAGAATACACTTAAACAAGATGCAGCCTCAGACTTCCAGCTCACCAAAAGCAACTCCAGGGGCCAATGAGATGGAACAGTCCAAAAGCCACCCACCTACACTCTCTGAAGTGGTAACAGTGGAAGGAACAAAGCAGATGAACAAAGCTCTAGAAAAAATCAAATTACAAATAGTTTCTCAGAAATGGTGCCCATGATGAAAAACATGCTTACTGACTAAGGGGTAGATACAGATAAAAAATAGAGGAGCTTAGGAAAGTGATGGAAACCATGAACACTCAACATAGGAAAGAATTGGAATCCATGAAACACTCAGGTATCTAGGAGATTAAAAATTCCATCAAAAGTATATGCAACAGAATGAGCCAATGTGAGGACAGAATCTCAGATATACAAGACAGGATTATGGTTATCAATGATGAAAAGAAAGATTTCCTAAAAATAGCAAGGGACCATGGGAAATCAATCCAGCAGCTGCTAGATGATACAAAGAACAATAACATACGATTGATCAGAGTCAATAAAAAAGCAGGGGGTAGCACAAATGACATAAGAAACCTGTTGACAAACATGGTGGAAAACTTCCCTGGCACAGAAAATGAATTTGATATCTAAGTGAGACATATAGAACTC